CTTAATTAATTCATACTATTGGCCTACCTGAAAATGGATTTTATTTATAGTGATTCACTTCATGGCTAAGAATCAAAGAAAGTTTCCAGAGTATATACTAGAAATAAAATTAAAACAAAGTAGAACCCCATTATGATATTAGTGTCAGAGGTAAAATCATATTTTACAATAATACCAACAGTACAGAAGAACCTGACCAATACAGTTTCTCATAGCATATTAGAGGCAGGTAGGTATTATAGTAGAGTGCTGGGTCTCTAGTCAGAAGTACTGAAGTTCGAATCCAACCACAGACATTTATTAGCTGTGTGACCCTGACCAAGTCACTTTACTGCTGTTTGCCTCAGTTTCCTCAACTGTAAAATGGGTCTAATAATAGCCCTGGCCTCGCAACATTGTTGTGAGGAGTAAATGAGATGATACCTGTAAAGTGCCTAGCATGGAATAAGTCCTTAATAAATGATTATTTCCTTTTTATTACTTCCTTCCTTCCTTCTCTTCTCCTTCCTGCCTTCCTTCTTTCCATCTCTCCTTTCTTCCTTTTACCTCTCGTTCTTTCCTTCCTTCTTTTTCCCTTCCTTTCTATTCCTGTTTTTCCGTCTCTCCTTCCTTTTTTTCCTTCTTTCCTTCCTTTTACCTCTTGTTCCTTCCTTCCTTCCTTTTTTCCTTCCATTTGTACAATTCTTCCTCCATAGACTAATGCTTTTCTATGAGAGGTGGAAAGTATAATCAGCTATTCTTGGGCACCAAATTTGGCCACTGAACTTAATCTTTATTCAGCTGCCTTTTAGTATTGCTTTTGTTTAGATTATTGTAGTGTCTTTTGCATATTTCTTCATATATATTTGATTATTTTTTTCGGTTTTTAATGTGTCTTTATTTTAACCTAGTTCATATGTTCAGATGTATAACACAATCAGTATCTGTGACTTCATATAAACTTACTTCTAGCTTTAAAATCTTGTAAAACACAAGTCACATGTTTAAATGGTTGTCTGATGTAAATTTCTTCCTTTTCAGTCAAATATGACATCAATTGCTTAGCATATACCAGACTGTGTTCCTATGACAACATTTTACCATGGGTGATTCAATAAATATGTGTACTTATTTGATGTTTCAACCCACATTTTCCTGAATTGATTGTATTAGTATGTCTTCTATAGTATATCTCATGAAAGAGACAGCTACAGTATAACCTGCCCTTAAGCTGAGTGTTTTAATAATTTCATGAAAAGTGAAGCTGAGTCCCCAGTATTACGCAATTTACGAAAAAATAACCATCGTTCTCTGTGGTAAACAAAGATTTTAGCACTGGAAAATTTTGAACTCTTCTCTCATACCTTATGCCCTCTATTAAGAAGGGAAAAGTCTTATGGAACCAGGATATTCAAAGAGAATCATCAAATTTTTTAAGTTAATTAATAGCCATGACCATTATGAACATTGACTTTTATTTTTCACAAGTTAACATTTCTTCTGCAGAAGTTAATCTCTACTATTTTGAACTAAAAATTAACTCTGACAGACTATGAAAGTGTAATTTTTGCCGACATTCAATTACTAAGGCACATATAAGGATTTTAAGGAAGAAAGATTTCTTATTCTGTGTCTAAAGGCCAATAAAACATAAATCCAATAAGGAAGGGCAAGAATGTACTAAATCTTCTGACATTAGATCATCTTACTTTGTGGACAAATATTTACTGAGTAACTGGAAAAGGATGTATCTTGTACCTTTCATGTCACTTTTTGTTGACAAGAACTTACTGCTGAGACATTCCATGAGTAAGGGAAGATGTCAAGACTCTTGTCAACTTAATAAATTTTCTGGTCTATTTCTACATTCAAGATTTTGAAGATAGAAGTAAAAGAATCTGATATGTTAACATGGAGGATCTTGTTAGGATTAATAAGTTATTGTGGGAGCAATCCTAGGTTTTAAAAATGGAGAGTAAAATGAAGTTCTAGTTCATTTATTAAGCACCTACTGTGTACAGTCACTATATTTAACATTGCAAGCATCGGCTTTCATATGACTGAAAATGATGACACTTCAGGAAAGCAGGTAATACCTTAGAAGGATACTAATGGAAATGGGGAAGAAGGGAATTTACCAGCTTCTCTTTCACTCCACGTCTGTTTCCTACTCTTCTATTACTATTCTATTATTCTAATACTCTTCTATTTCCATCAAAACCAGAGAGTGACAAAGGAAAAGTCCATTGTGGTGGCAGCAGTAAAGGTTTCTGTAGCCACTACCATGTAGTGGACAAGATAGACTGGGACATCTCAGAAAACAAATCATTTAATTTCTGGACATTGAAGAAGTCTGTCAAAATAAATGAATCATTATTTTGAATTCCAGCGTATTCTGGTCAAAATCAAGCAGGTGACAAATTTATCGAGAATCAATTAGGGAATTTGGGAGTAACATTAGTTTTTTAAGGCCACTAGTGCATTCATAACATTTCCTGAGTTCAAATCTGGCCTCAGACACTCACTAGCTGTGTGACTCTGGGTAAGTCACACCCTGTTTGCCTCAATTTCCTCATCTGTAAAATGAGCTGGAGAAGGAAATGGCAAACCACCAATCTTTGCCAAGAAAACCCTAAATAGGGTCACAAAGAGTCACACACGACTGAAAAAAAACTGAACAAGTGATATGAAATACTAATTTATCAAGTGGAAGCATAGCATAGTAGATAGAGAAGTAACTTAGAAGTCAGAAAGACCCAGATTCAAGTCCTGCCTCTGATACAAATGAACTGTGTGATCCTGGCCAAGTCACATCTAACTCCTGCCAACTCTACAAGACAGAGGTTCTTAACCTGGTGTCCACCAATCACCAAATATCTTTTTTTTGTAGATATATAAATAAAGGTGTCTGGGACCTTGGATGGAGCAAAATAAAATTTATACCTTTATTTTCACTAACCTTTGATTTCATTTGTATTTCTATATATTTTATTTTAAAAAACATAAGGGCAGCAAAGGTGGCACTATGGATAGAGCACTGATCCTATAGTCAGGAGGACCTGAGCTGAAATTAGGTTTCAGATATTTACTAGCTGTGTGGCTCTGGCCAAGTCACTTAACCCAATTGCCTCCTAAATAAATAAAAACATTAGTTAACAACCACATTGTGTGATGACTGACTTTGATACACCTTAGCTCTTCTCAGCAATACAAGGATCTAAGACAACTCCAGAAGACTCACGATGGAAAATGCTATCCACATCCAGAGAAAGAACTACAGAGTCTGAATGCAGATGGAAGCA